GTGTGTGTGTGTGTGTGTGTGTGCACTGATTTGTGTTTCCTCTTATATCTGTCTGTGTTTAAATAACCTGGAGCATGCTTTATACGTGTTTGCTTCTCTAATACAATGTCTGGTTTGATAAGCCGTCATACAACCGAGATAATGTTCCCACTCGAGTGGAAAGGATTTAATAATGGTTCGGCAGGAGATAAAGCTATTTTACACCAACATATGATTATGATGTTTATTTTGTTCTAATGTGTCAATCATGATTTGTTATAATTAAAATTACTCTATAAGGAAAGGTCAAGCTCCCTCTATAACAGTTTTGCTAATTCAGGAGCATATATTGAGCAGATTCAATCCCCTTAAGGTGCTGCAGTGTCACAGAAATCAATATGATGACACAACAGCTCAATAATTACATGTTCAGTTCAGTTGTGTATTATCCCTGTTGGGAAACTTGGCTTGCAGTCAGGTGCACAAGATAAAACACATTAGGTACAGTACATAAAAAATAATATGAATACAAAACTACAATGTAAAAGCAAAACACCATTTAAGTCTACTGAAGTCCCTAAAGTTATTGAGCTAAGATAACATCTCCAACTGAGCAGGTTTTTTACAAAGGGAAAATGAGTTTCTACTTCTATTGCAGTTGTAACAGGCTGCTTTAAATCTCTGGCCTGATTGAACGGTTTCCACCTCACAGTGCAGGAGCTGATTTGTACAGACTAATATAGACCTGCTCATGACATTTACCACCTTCCATCCCTCTGAGGAAGAGACACGACTGACTTAGAGCACAAATACATGTCCACTTTACTGCTCTTATATTACACTGTTACTTCACAACACTGTCTGAACCATTATCCAGTTCACTGAGTGTCAGCAAAGACTCAGGCCTCACAGGAATTACAGTAATGAGTTTATGTTGTTGGAAATAAATACACAAATATTTGCTTATGCCCAGAAAGCTCCCTCAACCCTACAGTAGTGAACAATGTCTAGCACATAACACACTGTTTTATGACGCATGATGAATATTTATGTAACCATGACTACAGATGCCATTAATTAAATTACTATCATTACTACCAAACCAAATTCATATTTCAATTTTCACTAATTATCTAAAATAACAATAATAATAAATTATATGTAACCAGAATATCCATCAAGCTCATACAGTAATCACATGTGAGCCCAAATGATAAATTAAATGTGCATTACGTACACAATAACCATTACTGGCATAATTGATCTTAATCAGAGTCAATCTAACCATGTATCTTGATATGGATTTTTGGTCTCACTGCCCGGCCCTAACCATAATATATGGTCCTATTTTTAAATCCAGTGTTTTTCCTGACGATATGCACCATTAGTCCATTACATCAGAACAACAGCCCATTTAAAAACAATGTAAGTTCTGAGTTCAGCCTTGTTTCAGATGGACGACGATGATTCTGACATTAAATAAATAGGTTGGGTGGGTTTTATTAGCCTGAAAGGCCATGGCGTCAATACTTCAGCCTGAAAACACCACAATTAACTGCTGCTGTCAGTCAAATCACATTTCCAGTAAAAACCTGCAACATCAACATCAAGTCTCTTCTCAGAGCTGCAGAGCAAAACAACGCAGCAAACGGAGAATAAACCTGCATTACTGTTCAGGCCTGCTTGTTGTGTGCACCACACTTAACTCTCTCATATGCAATTACACACACAGGAGTAAGCAGCTGCTGCAAGTCAGCATTGTTTTACTCAGAGTAGATGGTAAATATTTAATGCCTGAACTGCAGAAGCAAGTGTAAGAAAAAAAAACAGATTAGGTTGCTTGTTTTTCTTTCTTATGTAAAGAATTGAATATCCATCCGTAGATTTTTTAAGTTCAGAAGTTGTGCCTCACTTAAATGTTTTGCATGCTACTTTGCTTAAAACCATCTCCAGGGAAATAAACACAAATTTGTGACAACTGTGGTGTCAAACCGACTACTTAATGTAGTTTTCACATGGCCAGACAAAAACTCATGACTGGACTTCTTCTCTCTGGTGGCTGAGATGGCTGCAGTTCGAGAGGCACCATGTCCCAGTTTGATGTCACTTAGCAAGTGACAGAGGCTAAGTGACAGGCTTTGGCTCCTCGCGCCATATGTCAAGTCAAGTCTATTTGTAAAGTGCAATATGTCTCAATAGGCTTTACCAAGTCAGGGGTTTAAGACCACCACAGACTGAAAAGATAAGGGAAACTTGCAAAAGAGCCAAAAATGGAAGCAGCTTGAAAAATGATGTCATATACTTCTATAGCAACAAGGTGAAAACCAACGGTTTAACACTTCTTTCCATTCGTTAGTGCCATGAGGGAGGACTCCTACTGGCATGATACAAAAGTTTGTGAATGTTATGCACTAAATTGCAACCACAGATATCACAAAATCCCAAGAAGCTGCAAACTGTGAAACACAATAACAAAATCTCACTTTACTGGGAACTTAAGACTTGCATTATTGCATCTGAAATTAATTTGCTGCTGAAAGGGTAAATCTGGTGATATTCTATATTTTTCTCAACCACAAATCCCATTAGAAGCAGCAATAAATAGATTCTACAAACAGTGTTACCTGTACAGCCAAAGTCTCTTATATCCTATTCTTTGCCACTGACCTCATATATTGTCTAAATGACTATATGTGAGTTTGGTAACTGTTCAATATTAGACAATGTAGAAAAAAATACCAGTGTTATGAGTAACACTGAATGAAAATACACAATATAAAAGAATTAGCTCTGCTTTATTAGAATTTAATTTCCAATTTTGCAGCATAGGACAAAATGATCCAGCCATTATGATAACTCCAAAATACTCATCTAACTCTACGCCAATATGCAGGCTCCAGTATGGGAGCACATGAAGCAGCTCATCGTCACCCACAGTAACAGCTTCAACAGAACCGTAATAAGGAAACTACATAATTAAGAAATAATTAAACAACATAATTACGAAATAATCACCAAGACAAAATATACCACTAAAAACACAGATGCTTAGGAGTTACATGTGAAATAATTCCTCATCACAACTTGAGGAAATCACATATTGAGTGAGACCTTGGCCTTAATCTTTTTAAGACAACTCACACAGCCCCGTAGGTTTTATCTAACCACTGTTGTAAATTTCCCTCTTTGATATTTTGGATCCACGTTTCCCTTCCTGTAGTGTTCTCCACCTTCTCCTCCTCCTGTCCTCAGCCTCCTTCAAAGCTATGGCAGGTTTAACTGGTGCACAGCTCCCCTGATAGCAACATCTGAGAGATCTCCTGGAATCAAGCCCAAGTGGCACAATTAGCTGAAGTTTTCCATGACATAATTATCTAGATTACTCCTTAAATAACTTGTAAACAAAATGACAAGGTGTTTTGGAGAGGGGAAAAAGGTACAACAGGAGGGAAGCAAAGGAGGAAAAAAGATAGTGAGGGGAAACGCTAACCTGCTTGCAGTCAGAGTAATGGGCAAACAGCTCAGCATCTCTCTTGGGTTAATCGTGAACGTTTAATTGGCATTTGCATGCTGCATGTTACCAAAAAGCCTGACGCATCTCCACAGATGAATGCAGTGGATCTACTGTCCTCGTTGTCTGGATTACTAGAAGAGGAGAATTCAAAAGGTCTCATCATTTCAATACCATTATTTCAAATTGGCCCCCATGGCAACCACAGGAAGGGCTTTGAAGAACATCAACATTGACTGTGTAATGGTCACTGCAGATAGCAGTAGTGAAGTGCAGACACAAGCATGATCCTCACAGGCAGGTGATTCTGCTCCCAATCTAAAGAAGCTCAACACAAAAATCAGACGGACAGTGTTCATTATTAGATGGCACCACAGACATAGTACATAAAGATGGACAACTGCTCAACTTCGTGCCACTATCCAAAAGTCGAGCCAAAATATCCCAGATATGAACGCCACCATCCTGCACATATGACGGTAGAGCAGTAGCGATCAGAGATGGGGCCCGGCTGGCAAAGTCCAACCTATGCACATGCTGGACCCATCATGAGTCAGTCTCAGCTGTCATCTAACGTCAACATCAAATAATTAAAACCAAACTTGAAAAATTAACACAAACATCAGGGTTATAAGAACAGCGTGAAACAACAGAAACCTTCTTTTATAAATATCAATTTTGACGCCCACTTTGACTTCTTAGTTTGGTCCATATCCCATCTGCTAACATGGAGCAGGTAGTAGTTATGTTCTGTATTGCAGCCAGCTGTCACATGGTGATTAAGATGCTTTGGCTTCACTTTTAGAGAGCCATCATGTCTTTCATCTATATACAGTCTATGGATGTAACCAATAGCAATAATAGATCATCTTCACTCAAAGAGTCTGCACTCAGGGTGCCGGCTCTGTGAGGCTGCACTCTGCCGCAGAATGTAGAATGGTGCAAAATGCTAACTCAATTATGCTAACATGCTAATACTGACATGATTTTCTCCATCTTAGCTTAGCCTGTGGCCAGAATTAACATTAGTTTCGCTCAAACTAAAGCTGAGGATGTCATTGGGATATTATAGTTTTGCAGGTATTCACTCATAATTAAACTGAGTGAGAAACTGATACACTGAGTGAGGGGGGATCTATTATAACATTTTAAAGGACTAACCTGAACACTCAGACATTGTTACAATGTTAGAACAGTTAACTGGTTTTAAAGATGTGGTTGGTAAGTCCACATTAACAGCACTGTGCATAATTGATGTTGTGCCTGAGGCAGTGCAGGAAATGAAATACACAAGCTGATTTAATGTCACAGAAACGCAGCACTCTCTGTGTGAGCTTTTGTAAAACTGAGATCAAAATGAATCCATGACTGTAAAA